TAGATTGGAACATGGTCCACTGTCCACACACAGTCCGACGAAACAGTCTGGTACAGGGCCTCGCTGCACTACTCTCGAAATGTGCAAAACGAGAGTGAATCTTCCGCTAGAATATGGAAAGATACACCGCCATGATTCTTGTCTTTGGTGCATGTCGAGAGTAGTGCACCGAGGCCCACAGTCGTGTTTTTTTTAGTGTATACACTGTATAGCGAATATGACAACACACACACACACACACACATCCAGAAATTCGAAACGAAAAAAACGTAAGAGACTAAGAGTCCATCTTCCCCTGAAAGTGGAAGGGTGGATTGGTTGCCATAAATAGAAATGGATGAATCTTGTCACTTTCTCTGGAAGATGCACTCATAGTTTTTTTCGTTTGTGAGGCTGTTTAGTCCGGGGGCCTGGGTCTCTCAAGTCTCTGAGCTCATCGATTGAATATGAGACATGCAGCTTAATCTCCTCCTTACCACATGCTCTGTACCTATAAGGCCTGTAAGTAATCCTTCTTTTTCCTCGAGTCCCGTAAACCGATATTAAAATATTGAAGTGCTAATTTGTGAGGAACAAGCCCTCAAGGGGCCCTGTCAGACATCACATTGTTCTGGGCTAAGACCCCAGCAAGCCAAGTGCCCGCCCTAAGTGAAGGCGGGCCTGAATATTCGTCAAAGGCAAAATTCGACATTTCCATATGTGGGTATTCAGGCTCTCGCAGCACGCCAACTCGTTGGGAAGACGGGTGAGCCTCACATTGCTGCGTCATACAGTTAGCCCAGGCCTTGACAGTTGCGCCTGGGCACACATACACAAAGCAGGGCCGATACATTGGGAAGCAGACCTTCGACCTTTGCAAAAGCAGTAGTGCCAACGCACCTGCCTGGGAGCCCTGCACAGATGCAGCAAACAGCCCAAGTCCGGAGACTCAGGCCGTGCCTAACTGCAAAGGGCCCAGGCCCTCAACTGTAGTCTCGGGCCTGGGCGCAGGGTCTGAGACCCAACCGGAAGCTACTGGAAGCTTCCAGCCAGGCCACACGCAACATCCAAGAGGCTGTCACTTCCACAAAAGGAAGGAAGAAGCCCAGGCCGGGGATTCTGGCCAATTGAATCGTAAACTGACTCGTTATGAAAAAACAATCGAAGATGATCCTAGTGGGATTAGGCTGAAACTGGTCAACCTTGAATCAACCTGAATAATTATAAGAAATGGCATGCAACACAACGACTGCAAGTGTCCAAGTTATGCTCGAGCGAGTTTGAAATAATCCTACCTTCCTACCTTATCTCTGATACTTATCGGAAAATATAAAGAATTTTGGCAGCATCGTTCCTATGCAGGGGTAGATTGCCAAAAATTTTAAGGTTCTTATATATAACTCCCATAAATTTTAGGAAATTTCAGCAGCGCTTCCTGTAGAACAAGCGCCTTCACATAATTTACATAAAATTAAATATGAAAAACCTTAAAAATTTATAACTCGAAAAATCAAAATTGTATCTAACTCATTGGATTAGTAAGAATTTTGGCAGCACTTCCCCTAGAAGAGTACTATCCAAAAATTTATACTAGTCCACATTCGAATTCAGTTAAAATCGCTAACGTTTTCAAAGACAAAATTGTCTATCTCCCTGGATTGGTAAAAATTTGGAGAAGGTAGTTTCTGAAATCCCTAATGACTCATAAATGTGAAGTAGACAAAGCCTATAGCTTTGCATAGAAAAATATGTCAAACTCCTTGAATTAGTAAAAATTAAGGCAGCATCTCCCCTAGGCAGGGTATACATACCTTTCTGATAAAACTAAAGAGATATAACAATAGGGGCATAATGGGCACACACATAAGGCAAAGGAAATATTCTTGACAATTCTTTGCCTTCAAAACCTCGCCTAGGTTCCGGCAGAGCTCCCACAGTCGGTGGGACGAACCTCCCACAAAGGCCTTGTTCCGGTCCTACGGGTTTCTGATCCCGCTTGCCGTCTTCCTCTCGTAACCAATAGACTGGACTGAGAATGAGAAGGGCATAAAGAAAAAAGTCGGACTCTCAAGATACAAGAAGGGGACAAACTCAACTCGCATGAGAGCGCCTTGTTGCCTTGATGAGCCTGAGGGCCCCGCAATGGTGGCTAAAATGCAGTAAGAATGGTCGACTCACGACCTGACAGAAGAAGACCCGCGCCTTGACAACCCTCCAAGCCGCTGCAGTGCCTTTGTAACTTGAATATTGCCCCAAAAGTTACGACACCGCTTTACCTTATCAAACTGTTGGCGCGCAGCTTAAAAGGTTGTGTCTGAATAGAGCACACCCCATGTGTTTTTCTTGAATGCAGACAAAAACATAACAGAAATGTTGCGCACTCAACAATCGTATGCAGCAACATGCGTAGCAGCTATGCACAACTTGAACAACCCTTATGACCTCGCCACCTATCTGCACTCCTCTCGTGGCAATGTCAGTCTGAAGCGGTACCACCTGTCCCAAACCAGCAGCACCGTCGACTCAACAATTTGCCGAACCTGTGATTCGTTATACACTGATTGCGACTCCAAAACACAAGTCGTTGCCAAAAAGCATGGTTTGTGACCACCCCGAAGCAAGACAACAACTTAACCAAGAGGATGGTCGCGGACAAAGAAATGGTCAGCAACAGCAATCAGAGCACATACAAATCTCGACCATGCAACCTCTCTACTCAGTCCGTATTTGTAGTGGAAGCCAGATTCAAACGAGCTCGCTGGAGAATCGTTAGGCCAATGCTCATACGACTTGCATTCATACTGAAAATCAAAATCAGATGAGTTTTCGCCCCTCATGCGTTACACAAGATTTATGTTCTCGTCGAGCTCATCCAAGGATACTTGCGTCTTCTTCTAACAGGTGTGCTACCCCAATCAAGCCCGATATGCACGTCTATATCGTTGTGTGCCTCCGCCAACTTTCCCCTAGTCTTCACCTTGCTCAGACATGATTCGCTATTTTTTGGGTCCCGGTAGGCATGCTCTCTCTCGACTATCTCACCACAGACCATGGTTAGCAAGTGGCACACCCGGATAAGTTTCCTGCCACGTGACGCAGGTAATCCCCCCCCTCTCTCTCTTATGCGTCTCTCATTTTCTCCCCTTTTGTTTTTCCGTATCAATCTTTCTACTCCTTGTTCGCACCCTGTGCGCGCATATGGACCTATCTTTGTTGCCGCGCCTCTTTGCCACTTTACAGATTGAATTGAACCTCTCACCGAATCGAAACCAGGTACATTGGGTTGGCAGGCAACAAAATGATAACGGCAGCGCTTCTGCTGGCGGTACTCTTGACGATGAACGTACGCAACCTTATATTTGTGACGACGACAACGAACAACAGCACGATCAGCGCCACAACTCAAAGGAGCTCCTCGCGACGAACTGGTAGGTCCCACTCTCTCTCCCCTGGCGTGCTCGCGCGCGTGCCCCTACTCTCTTCTGCTAACCATCTCCCTCCAATTTATGTATCTGGCTGACACTTCGACCAGATTCATCCACTTTCCTCAATGCTCGTACGAGGGAAGCAGTCGCCCGGATGAAGGGATCGATGCACAGCGCCCAACGTTAGAAGGGGCTTAGCCTCATCATCGATTGGGAAGATCACGACCATGATGCCGAAGACAGCAATTGCACGATCATGGTAATCACAAGGTAAGTGACATCATTTCGCTGATGATGACAACCAGCAGTGTCCGTTCGTGAGGATTGCGAGGACGACGGAGGCAAACCACATGATCTTGTCAGTTTCGATCGTGGTGGTAAGCTGAGGCACACGATGGTGGGCTGCGCCCCGCTATCACTAAACTTGCAAAATGAGAATGAATCCTCAGCAAGAACTCGGGAAGATACGTCTGCTCCCTTCACTCGGCACAGCGCAGCCCCTCACTTCTGCAGCACTAAAACCGCCCCTTATTCCTTAATCAGATTCCTTATAACATTTAATCAGATTCGCCCAATCTCAAAACCCCTTAATCACATTTTCCCTCACAACATGCACTTCGTGACAACTGGACCGAAACAAAGTTCATTTTGCCAAATTATGCGATACGTTTTTTCATAAACTAGTTGTGAGGACAAGATTTCAACCTTAGGATTATGTGTCACAACAAGACGAGAAAACTGGTTTTCAATAACGCACAGTTAGTCCTGAGATCCATGTCTCACAACAACATATTAGAAAACAGGTATTTTACCCAAACTGAAGGCACCCGAAGAAGCCACGTCAATGACATAATAGTTTTGCATAAAATTTCAGGTAGTTCGCCGGTACAACAGAGAGACCATATAAAAAATGAAAATTGGTCAGACTCTAGAAAGGGCAGAAGAGCAAAGAAACCAATTCCCAATTCCCATCATCAACTCTGTCTCCACAAAAACAGGCAAAGAAAAACCCTCTGCAAGTAGCACTTGGGTTAGCATGCCCTACAATCAAACATCACGATAATTAATTAGATCAAATGATGAAGGAGATATCACAAGCCGAAAATTTGATTAAGCTCCTTATTTATAAGTTTATTGCAAGTATGACGTGCAACGAGCAGCCCATGGTGCAATTCCCAACAGTTATGTAGAAAGCCCGCAGCCATCCTCTTATACACATCTAGATGTGTATAAGAGACAGGTGTGTGTGTGTGTGTGTTCGGCATTGCTTTTCTATTCTGGCTGTGTTCACACCAGGACTGTTGAACCCCAGCCCTTGTGATGACTGAAGGGAAAGCATGAAGAGGGTGGCAATTGAGTGAGCAAGAGAGAGAGAGAGAGAGAGAGAGAGAGAGAGAGAGAGTAGCTGTTCTGCCTGCACTGTTGTAATGAAAGCCTTGGTGAAGTGCACGCTTTGCTGGTTTGTTCTTTGTCGTTGACAAACTCTCCCTGTTTCACATTGTGTTTTCACTTTGGCCCCCTAAACGGTGTTTTCCGTCCATCCACTTCATTCAGTCAAGGTCGTCTGCATTTCGCTCTTGGACGCAGTGAAACAAGCTGTGGATTGCTTTGGTTCTGAGAAGCATACACAATGGAAGATTGTACTGCTGATCACCTTGCTGAGAAGTGAACATCAAATGACTTTCGTCGCATCGAGAAGGGAGGGAGGGAGGGAGGGAGGGAGGGAGGGAGGGAGGGGGGACAGACTAATAGCTCCACTAGAATTATTTGGCGCTTTTCGTACATGTTGCCATGCCTCGGCCACTTCTAAGCTCACGGGCAGCCTACCGGTCAGCTGGCCGTCCCTGGTATGTGCTTCAGCATCGTTGGAAAGCCGTATTTGTTTTTGGCATTTTGTCTGTCTGCTCTCTCCTTGCCTTCTGCCCTGAGTTGGTCGACATCGGCAAGTCTGACACCCCTCATCGGACTGAGTACCCTTTCGCATCCGACTCTAGAAAAGACGGAAAGTCACGGAGTGATGAGGAGACCTCTGCCCTTGGTCATGGCGTCCGAAGGCAAGGAGTTGAGGTGTATAATCCACTGGAGAAGATGGATGTGATGCTCCTCAGAGGCGTGGGACCGCGTTATCGCGGTGTTAGCAAGAATGCAAGTGCCATGGAACACCCAGACCCAACCTCTGGCCTGCAGTTGTTGCTTGACGCTATGCGGGACGCGGGAAACTGGTCGTCTCGTGTCCCAGAGGTTCCCGCGGGCACAACATGCGAGGCATGGCTGACGGAAAACGACAAATTCAATTACAGCCGGGATTTCTCTGCGGAACCTATCAAAGTGGGATCGCTGGAAGTGACCGTCTGGAGAGGATGTCCCGTCGGGTGTGTTTTCTCGGCCACGACAGAAGCCGTAGATGGCAACATGATCGACGGACGCGGTGCTTCCGAGCTGCGGATCGCAAGGACAATGGAGAGTGTAACCAATTACCCGACGTACAGAGTAGATGATGCACACTCTGCAGGGTTTTCTGTGGTAATGACCACTGATCTGAACTCTGATGTTCCTGTCGGCTATTTCTCGTGGGCGGAGTACGACATAATGGCACCGCCTGAGGTGAAAGACGGTCCATCGCCAGCGGTTGCCTTCATATCAAATTGTGCCGCGAGGACATTCAGGCTGGAAGCAATCGAGCGCTTCCAATCATTGGGCGTTGCTGTGGATTCCTACGGCGCGTGCAGAAGAAATAAGCCACCGGGTGCAGCTAAACATAAGACCTTGCCGCGCTACAAGTTTTGTCTGGCTTTTGAGAATTCGATCGAAGAGGATTATGTGACTGAGAAGTACTTCCAGTGTTTGGTTGCCGGCTCTGTGCCAGTTGTCATCGGTGCGCCGAACATCGACGACTTCGGACCTGCGCCGGGCTCTCATCTCCACATCGCGTCAGTCAACGACATAGACGCTGTCGCACAGAGGATCACACAGTTGATGGAGAGCGAAGAGGAGTACGATCGAATGCTGCGCTGGAAACGGGACGGTCCGAGCGACCAGTTCCTTGCCCTCGTGGACATGGCAGCCGTGCATTCTTCTTGCAGACTGTGTATCTTCTTGGCCACCAGGCTTCGGGAGCAAGAAGAGAAGGATCATGGCGGCGGCGGCTTTGGCTGGCGGCCATGTAGGTGTCGTGAGAGAACTGAGTCTGGCGAAGAGGTGACCGTTTACCACCTGTATGTGCGCGAAAGAGGGCGTTTCGAGTTCGAGAGCGTTTTCCTGCAGTCAGGGGCACTGACACAACTGGCGTTGAAGATGGCAGTGCTCAAGGTCTTCAGCGCAAAGGGTCATGTGCCCGTGTGGAAGAAAGAGAGACCCAGGATATTGGCTCGATCGAATGTTTTGAGAGTATATAGCATTTACCCTGTGTGGGCGACGCAGCGGGCTGCTCTGTATGAAGGTGCAGCCTTGACAACAGACGAGCAAGTAACTGCTTTTGTTGAGGCGAAACCCTGTGGAAAACTTGAAGTTATTTTTGTCTGATGGGTTAAAATTTAAAAGTAGGTTTAGGAGCCATGAGTTGGTGATTTAGTCATTTTTCTGATTTTTTTCTGATGATTTTTGTCAGAATAATTAAAGTAGATATGGTAGCCACAAGTTGGTGATTTAGATGTAGGCAAGTTTTCGCTCAGAATTTCTGAGTCCTATATATATTATTATATACTCTATTACTCGTTGTCTTTGTTGGTTATTTTAACTTATTTAATTCATAATAATAATAAATTTTTGGTCAGAATTTTCAATTTTTTTAGTATTCCTTTTTTCTTATCTTGGTTACGAATGTAGGTAAACTAGTTCAGAATTTTTCAGTGTTTTTTTTCTTTTTCTTTACAAGCTAGGAAGATTCTCACGCCCGGCCGGTCCTGCTTGACCGGCCGGGCACCCGGGCATGACACCCGGGGGGGTCTGACACCTGGGGTAGCCGGGTGTGCAAACAAATTTTTTTTTTTTTTGGGTTTCTGCGCTCTCCCAGAGGAACCCAAATCTGGGCTCATTTCTTTTTTGGCGAGTTGGCTGTCAAGGGGGGAGGAGGGGGGTATATAAATTGGTTTTGAAGGAGCTAAAGGGGTTTAAAGGGGGGTGCCTTAGTGTGATTCCATTATTTTCTTTTTCATCTCCGATTCTGTGGGGATTTTTTTTTTTTTTTTTTTTTTTTGTAACAGCCCCGGAGACAGCTTGAGGTGCTGGTAGGAGCAGACACATCAAGCCGACCTTGGGAAGGTTCCATCTATTGGTGGGGAGCTGCACCTGCTGGGAAGCGGGCCCAGCGTCCCATTTACAAATCTGTGGGGAATTCTAATGTGACCCTCAGCCGAAAAACGTTTGTATTGCAATTCTACACAACATATTCTTTTTCTGGATTTTTTTTGAATTTTTGACTTTTTTTTTTTTTGGCGCTGGGGCTGCCCGGAACCCTCCTCGGGGTTCATGCCTGACTGGGCACTGGGGCGTGTACCCGGGCATAAGTTGGGTGCCCGGACGCCCGGAAAAACAGCCTAGTTCATAAGTGCTTTTTTTTTTTTTTTTTTGTCATGGTTATTCCAGATGCGGTGGACCTGGACACTTCAGGATCCAGACCTGGGCTCAGGTATGGAATACCAAGCAGACGACCAGATTGATTCCCATCATGGGGCTGCGGAATTATTTTTTCTTTTCCAAACTTTAAAGAAAATTTTGGTATTTCTTTAGTCGGTCGGAGTTGGCCATGAGTTTCAACTTTCAAGATGATGAACGCAAGCCTCCGGTACATGGAAGTTGGGATTTTGTTTCTCTCCATTTAAAAAAAAAATAAAAAAATTTGGAAAACATTTGTGTCTGAGAAATGCAGTCAACAGAGAGCTGAAAGAAGAAGCAAAAGAGAAACTGTGGAAAAAAGCCCGAAGAAAGGCCAATCAACGTGCATCCTCGGACTGCAAATTCGGGGCTTTTTCTACTTATGATGTCTCGCACCTTCGGTATCTACGAGGTTAGAAAAGGCCAGATTCGGTATCTACGAGGTTAGACAAGGCCAGATTCTTTACTGTAGTGAAAACATAGAGGTGACTGGAAAGCAAGCCCAATCAATCTCAGAGAGAGCTGGTTTCCTGAGAAATCCATTGCGTTAGAAAGAAAAACAGAAAGCGTTCTCTTTCCTTTATCCCTCTCCATTCGTATCGACGTCTTTGTCTGTTGCAAACCATAGCAGCGGCGGGTCCATGCATGCAGCCACATGGAGGTGCACAGATTGCACGTCCACTGCACAGCGA